CCATGAGCACAGGATAGACGTCCATTTGTGGCTTCTTCAATTTCTTTCATCAATGATTTATAATTTTCAATGTACATATATTTCACTTTGGCTAAATTAATTCCTAAGTATTTTATTGTTTTTGATGCTATTGTAAATTGAGTTGTTTTCTAAATTTCTGCTTCAGAGAGTTCATTGTTAGTGTATAGAAGTGCAACTGATTTTTTATAATGATGTTGTATGTTGCAACTTAATTTTTTTATTAGTTTTATGACCTTTTTGGTCTAATATTTAGGGATTTCTATAGATGTATATTTGTATATATGTTCATGTCATCTGCAAACAGAAAATTTTACTTCTTTCTTTCTGATTTATATGGCTTTTATTTCCTATTCTTGCCTAATGGCTCTGGCTACAACTTCCAGGATTATTTTGAATAGAAGTGGTGAGAGTGAGTATCCTTGTCTTGTACCTGATCATAGAAGAAAAGCTTTCAGTTTTTCACTGTTGAGTATGATCTTTGCTCTAGACTTATTATACATGATCTTTATTAAGTTGAGGTACATTCCCTCTATATCTAATTTGTTGAGAGTTTTCATTATTAAATACTGTGAAAATTTATCAATGCTTTTTCTACATCCTTGGATATGTTCATATGATTTTTATACTTCAACCTTTTAATGTGTTGTGTCACATTTATTGATTTATATATGTTGAGTCATCCTTGTATCCCAGCAATAAATCTACTCAATTATAGTTTATGATCCTTTTAATGTGCTGTTGAATTTGGTTTCCTAGTATTTTGTTGAGGATTTCCCATCTATGTTCATCAGAAATATTGGCTTGTAATTTTCTTTCCTTGTAGTGTCCTTATTCTGTTTTTGTATCAGAGCAATTCTGGCTACATCAGATTAGTTTGTAAGAATTCCCTCCTGTTTAACTTTGGGGGGGAAATTGTGAAGGTTTGGTATTAAATCTTCTTAAAATGTTTGTAAAATTCACTAGTGAAGCTATGAGTTCCCGGAATTCTTCTTAGGAGGTTTTTGATTGTTGATTCCATCTCCTTACTTGTTATTGGTCTGTTTACATATTCTATTTCCTCGTGATTCAATCTTGGTCGATTGTATGTTACTAGGAATTTATCCATTTCTTCTAGATTTTTCTTTGTTGGTGTATAATTGTTCTTAATAGTCTCATATAATTCTTTATACATCTTTGGTTTCAGATGTAATGTCTTCTTTTTCATTTCTGATTTTATTTATTTGAGTTTTCTCCTTCTATTCTTAGTCTAGCTAAAGTTTTGTCAATTTTGTGTATCTTTATAAAGAGAAAAACTCCGTTCTATTCATCATTTCTATTGGTTTTCTAATATCTGCTTCATTTATTTCTGATTTTACCCTTGTTATTTCCTTTCTTCTGTCAACTATGAGCTTAGTTTGCTCCACTCTTTCCAGTTTCTTGTGGTATAAAGTTAAGATGTTTATTTTAAAGCACTCATTTTTCTTAATGTAGGAGTTCAATACTACGAACTTTCCTCCTACAATTGCTTTTGTTGCTTCCCATAACTGTAGGTATGTTGTGATTCCATTTTTGTCTCAAGATATTTTTTTATTTCTCTTTTGATATCTTCCTTGATTCATTGGGTGTTAAGGAATGTGTTGTGTAGTTAATATATATTTGTGAATTTTCCCATTTTCCTCCATTATTGATTTGTAGTTTCATAACCTTGTTGTCAGAAAAGATACTTGATATGATTTCAATCATCTTGAATTTGTTAAGACTTGTTTGATGGCCTAACATATACTGGAGAATATTCCTTATGTGCTTGAGAAGAATATGTATTCTGCTGCTCTTGGATGGAATGTTTCACATACATCTATAAGGTCCATTTGGTGTAAACTGTAGTTCAAGTTCAATGTTTCCTTATTGATTTTCTGTCTAGATTGTCTATCCATTGTTGAAAGTGGGAGTAATTAAATTTCCTACTATTACTATATCACTATCCCATTTTTATGGATATTTGTTAATATTTGATTTGCATATTTTTTGCTCCAATATTGGGCACTAAGATGTTTATTATTATTGTATCTTCCTGAGGAATTAGCTGTTTCATCTTTATATAATGTCATTCTTAGTCCCCTGTTACAGTTTAAAAAAGCCTATTTGTCTCATATAAGTATAGTTACCTGTGCTATCTTTTGCTTGCAATTTGAGTGGATTATGTTTTTCCATTTCCTAATTTCATAATTTTTATCCTAAATGTGTACTTAAGTCTGAAGTGAGTCTCTTGTAGGTAGTATATGGTTAAATTTTTTAAATCTTGTGATGCACTCTATGACTTTTTATTGAATAATTTAATCCATTTATATTTAAAGTAATTGATAGTTAAGAACTTACTATTACCATTTGGTTAGTTTTTTCTGGCTGTTTTGTTGTTCCCTGTTCCTTCCTATCTTGTCTTTATTTGTGATTTGAGGATTTTTTGTAGTGCTATACTTTGATTCGTTTCACTTTATAATTTATCTACTAGAGGTCTTTAATTTTTTATTACCATGAGAGTTACATAAAATGTCTTATAAGTATAACAGTTTATTTTTAGCTGACAGCTTCAATCACATACAAAATCTCTTTTTTATTCCTTTCATCCAGTTTTCAGGCTTTTGATATCACAATTTGCATCTTATTATATTGTGCTTCCATTAAAAAAATATTGAAGGTGTAGTTATATTTAATACTTTTGTTATAACTTTTATACTAGAGTTAAAAGTGATTTATATGCCACCATTAAAGTGATAATATATTCTGGTTTTTACTATAAACTTACCTTTACCAATGAGTTTTATGCTTTCATGTTACTAATTAGCAACTTTTCATTTCAGATGGAAAAACATCTTTTGTTTGTCTGGGGAAGAATTTATCTCTCCTCATTTCTGAGCTACAGCTTTTCTGGGTAAAGTATTACTGGTTTCAGATTTTTTTTACAGCATGTTGAATATATTGTCACACTCTTCCCTGGACTGCAAGGTTTCTGGTGAGAAATCCACAACTATCCCTATGCAGGTTTCTTTCTATGAGATGTTCTCCTTTCTCCTGTTGCCTTCAGAATTCTCCTTTTGTCTTTGATTTTTGATAGTTTGACTATAATATGTCTGAGTGAAGTCCTCTTTGGGCCAAACCTGTTTGGGACTTTTAAGTTTTGCATACCTGGATGCCCATAGTTCTTCCCCTAATGGTAGATTTTCAGCCATTGTTCCTTTTGAAAAACTTTCTTTCCCTTTCTCTCTCTCTTCCCCTTCTGAGATTTCCACAATGTGTATATTACTTTTTTTAAGGAAGACCCCACAATCTCATAGGCTTTCTTCATGTCTTTATTCTTTTTTTTCTTTTTTATCATTTGACTGTAAAATTTGAAATGACCTATCATCAAGTTCACAGATTTTTTTTGTCTGCTTGTTTAATACAGTTGATGATTTTCATTGAATTTTTCATTTTATTCATTGAATTCTTCAACTCCAGAATTTATGTTTATGTTTTAAATAATTTCCAACTCTTTATTTCCTCAGCCATATTGAGGTACAATGGACAAGTAAAATTGCAAATATTTAAGGTGTACAACATGACAACTTGTTATATTTTTATATTGTGAAAATATTACCACTATGAAATTAACATATCCATCACCTGTCTCCATTAAGTGTGAGAACAATTAAGATTTACTATCTTAGCAAATTTAAAATACACCATACAGTATTATTAACTAAAGTTACCATGCTATACATTAGATCTGCGGAACTTATTCATCTTATAACTGAAAGTTTGTACTTTAGAAAAACATGTCCCTATTTACTCCATTCAACAGCCCTGAGAAAACATCATTCTCCCATTTCTGTGTGTTTCACATTTTTTTGATTTCACATATGTGACATCATAGAGCACTTCTTTTTCTTGGTCTGGCTTATTTTACTTAGCATTGTGCCCTCCAGATTCATCCATGTTTTTGCAAAAGGCATGTTATTCTATGGTGTGTGTGTGTGTGTGTGTGTGTAAGTGTATATATATATATATACTTTATATTTTCTTTATCTATTCATCCATCGAGGGACAATTAGGCAGTTTCCAGATATGGCTATTTTGAATTATGCTCCAATGAACATGGGATAGCAGATATCTCTTCAGGATACTGATTTCATTTCCTATGAATATATACCAAGTAGTGGGATTACTGGTGGATATATTTTAAATTTGTCTAGGAAATTCCATACTGCGTTCCATAATAGCTGTACCATTTTACATTTCCACCAGGAATGTATGACAATTTCCTTTTCTCAACATCCTTACCAACACTTCTTATTTTTTAATGTTTTTGATAATAGTCATCCTAAGAGGTGTGAGGTAATATCTTATTGTGCTTTTGATATGCATTACCCTAGTAATTATTGATGTTGAGAATCTTTTCATGTGCTTGTTGGACATTTGTTGGTTTCTTTGGGATAATGTCTATTCAGGTCCTTTGCTAATTTTCTTTTCGTTTTATTTTTTGGTGAGGGAGATTGTCCCTGGGCCAACATCTGTGCCAATCTTCCGCTATTTTGTATGTGGGACACTGCCAAAGCATGGCTTGATGAGTGATGCATAGGTCCACACCTGAGACACAAACCTGTAAACACTGGGCTGCTGAAGCAGAGCATGTGAACTTACCCACTACACCACCGTGCTGGCCCCCCTTTGCTCATTTTTTGATTGGGTTGTTTGTTTTTTTCTATTGAATTGTATGATTTTTATATTTGAATATTAACTTTTCATCAGATATATGATTTGCAAATATTTTACCCTAACCCATAGGTTTCCTTTCCATTTTTTTCATTTTTTCCTTTTCTGTGCAAAGAAAATTAGTTTCATGCAGTCCCATTTGTATATTTTTGTGTTTGTTGCCTGTGATGTTGGTGTTATATCCAGGAAAACATCAAGACCAATGTCAAGGAAAATTTTCCCTATTTTATAATAGATTTATGGTTTCAGGTCTTATGTGAAGGAGACCTGGCATGAAATGTGGTTGTGCTTGCACGCGAGGCATCCACAAGACTGGCTGGACTTTTCTGCAAACAGAATGTTCTGCCTGGTGAACTCACAAGGCCCCAGGGAAAACATTGCTTGCAAACAAGGATGTTTTATCAGTTCCTCAAAAGGAACAAGCCTGGGGCCTTGGGAGTTTGAAACATTATGAAGGAACCTGTTATAAACAGATGTGTAAGGGAAAGGTCATTATTGTGGGATGCTTGCGCAGGCTTAGGTAGCTGACTCACTGCTTTGGCAAAAGGCGGGCTTTGTTTAGAGGCTATAAGAATAAAGAGCTCGAGGAACTCGAGGAGACTACACAGCAACCAGTGTTCGTGTTTTCATTTTGTTGGCGGCATCTGGCATCCAACGTGGGGCCCAACGAAACTGAAAGGGTAAGCACCCTGGAAAAGTGAAAGGGGGACTTTCGGGAATAGGTAAATCTCGATGCAGGGCTCGACAAGACCGAAAGGGTAAGCACCCCGGAAAAGTGAAAGGGGGACTTTCGGGAATAATAAATCATGGGGAATTCTAATTTTCTAAGGGTCACAGTATTTAGACCTCATAAAGGGACTCCTTAAGTCCATCGGGGAAAAAGTGTCCTCTCGGCACTCGAATGAATTATTTCTGCATATTGATTGCCATTGTTATTGGTTTCCTCATCAGACAAAGGCTCAGTTAAATTTGAGGGAGTGGAAGCAAGTTCAAAAGGAGTTGCGGAAGCAACACCAGTGGGGAAACGTTATGTCTCTTAAACTCTGGACTCTCTGTAGCGCCATTACTCAGGCGCTTGAAATTTTTGAAACAGATAGTGAGGTTAACTCCCGTCGTAGTGAGGCTCATTATGAGGACGTTCCGGTGGAAGAAAAAGATACAAAGGAGGGATCTTGCCCTCCCCCTCCACCGGAGCCTCCTGATGAGACTTCTGAGTCTAGCTCAGATTCTGAGGAGGATAGTGATGAGGAAGAAGAAAAAGATAAATTGATTTTCAAAATGGCTACTGCCTTGAAACCTCAGCGACAGGGCACTTGCTTTAATTGTGGGCAGTTTCTGGACATTTGACTGTATGAACTGATAATTTTACCTTAAATGTGTCTCAAAGTTCTGGACTTTTTCAGGTTCATCTGCATAAGAATAAAACCTACACTGCAACTGCTTGTGTCAAATTTCCCTATTCCTTACTATCAGGGAAAATTATGTTAAATGTTACAGAGGGATATGTAAATTGTACTGCTGATTGTGTCTTTACTCAGTGTGTAAATAAGACTTGGTGGGAGACAATCGAAGATACCAACAAATCTGTAATGATTGTAAAAGCTTGTTCCGAGCTTTGGATGCCTGTTAATCTGACATGTCCTTGGTCTGACTCTATTGCTGTTTCACATCTGTATGATTCCCTTCAAGTTGTTCTACATCGCTCCCGTCGACTAGTGGGATTGATCGTCGCGACTATCCTTGCGGTTGCATCCGTTACTGTGATGGCCGCTGTGGCCAGCCTGGCACTGCAGCAGGAGATACAAACTGTGGACTTTATCAGGGAATGGCATAAGGACTCTCATGCCTTATGGCAACAGCAAAAGGACTTAGATGCTCAATTAGCTACCGATGTAATTAACTTGCAACATACTGTATCTTGGTTAGGGGATCAACTGACAGTTCTTGCTACCCGCAATATATTGAAATGTGATTGGAATTCTACACAAATGTGTGTCACCCCACTGCATTTTAACATGTCAGAAGGATGGGAAAAGATTAAGCACTCTTTACGGGGTCATCAAAATTTAACTGCAGAGATAATGCAACCTGAACAGTCTATTGCAGACACTTTCAGTAAAGAATTGCCTAAATTGACGGGGGATGACCTATTAAAGGGACTGCAGGAGGGGTTAAACAGTTTGAATCCCTTGGGGCATGTAAATACGCTATTGTCTACTTCTTTGGGAAATCTGGTGCTAATATTGATTTTATGCTTGCTTTTCTATGTAGTCTTCCGGCGCTGGAGAAAACAACAACAACTAAAAAGGATCGTTAAGACCGTTGCGCATGCTGTCCGTCACAATGCTAACAAAAGAGGGGGAGATGAAGGAGACCTGGCATGAAATGTGGTTGTGCTTGCACGCGAGGCATCCACAAGACTGGCTGGACTTTTCTGCAAACAGAATGTTCTGCCTGGTGAACTCACAAGGCCCCAGGGAAAACATTGCTTGCAAACAAGGATGTTTTATCAGTTCCTCAAAAGGAACAAGCCTGGGGCCTTGGGAGTTTGAAACATTATGAAGGAACCTGTTATAAACAGATGTGTAAGGGAAAGGTCATTATTGTGGGATGCTTGCGCAGGCTTAGGTAGCTGACTCACTGCTTTGGCAAAAGGCGGGCTTTGTTTAGAGGCTATAAGAATAAAGAGCTCGAGGAACTCGAGGAGACTACACAGCAACCAGTGTTCGTGTTTTCATTTTGTTGGCGGCATCTGGCATCCAACGTGGGGCCCAACGAAACTGAAAGGGTAAGCACCCTGGAAAAGTGAAAGGGGGACTTTCGGGAATAGGTAAATCTCGATGCAGGGCTCGACAAGACCGAAAGGGTAAGCACCCCGGAAAAGTGAAAGGGGGACTTTCGGGAATAAATAAATCATGGGGAATTCTAATTTTCTAAGGTCACAGTATTTAGACCTCATAAAGGGACTCCTTAAGTCCATCGGGGAAAAAGTGTCCTCTCGGCGCTCGAATGAATTATTTCTGCATATTGATTGCCATTGTTATTGGTTTCCTCATCAGACAAAGGCTCAGTTAAATTTGAGGGAGTGGAAGCAAGTTCAAAAGGAGTTGCGGAAGCAACACCAGTGGGGAAACGTTATGTCTCTTAAACTCTGGACTCTCTGTAGCGCCATTACTCAGGCGCTTGAAATTTTTGAAACAGATAGTGAGGTTAACTCCCGTCGTAGTGAGGCTCATTATGAGGACGTTCCGGTGGAAGAAAAAGATACAAAGGAGGGATCTTGCCCTCCCCCTCCACCGGAGCCTCCTGATGAGACTTCTGAGTCTAGCTCAGATTCTGAGGAGGATAGTGATGAGGAAGAAGAAAAAGATAAATTGATTTTCAAAATGGCTACTGCCTTGAAACCTCAGCGACAGGGCACTTGCTTTAATTGTGGGCAGTTTCTGGACATTTGACTGTATGAACTGATAATTTTACCTTAAATGTGTCTCAAAGTTCTGGACTTTTTCAGGTTCATCTGCATAAGAATAAAACCTACACTGCAACTGCTTGTGTCAAATTTCCCTATTCCTTACTATCAGGGAAAATTATGTTAAATGTTACAGAGGGATATGTAAATTGTACTGCTGATTGTGTCTTTACTCAGTGTGTAAATAAGACTTGGTGGGAGACAATCGAAGATACCAACAAATCTGTAATGATTGTAAAAGCTTGTTCCGAGCTTTGGATGCCTGTTAATCTGACATGTCCTTGGTCTGACTCTATTGCTGTTTCACATCTGTATGATTCCCTTCAAGTTGTTCTACATCGCTCCCGTCGACTAGTGGGATTGATCGTCGCGACTATCCTTGCGGTTGCATCCGTTACTGTGATGGCCGCTGTGGCCAGCCTGGCACTGCAGCAGGAGATACAAACTGTGGACTTTATCAGGGAATGGCATAAGGACTCTCATGCCTTATGGCAACAGCAAAAGGACTTAGATGCTCAATTAGCTACCGATGTAATTAACTTGCAACATACTGTATCTTGGTTAGGGGATCAACTGACAGTTCTTGCTACCCGCAATATATTGAAATGTGATTGGAATTCTACACAAATGTGTGTCACCCCACTGCATTTTAACATGTCAGAAGGATGGGAAAAGATTAAGCACTCTTTACGGGGTCATCAAAATTTAACTGCAGAGATAATGCAACCTGAACAGTCTATTGCAGACACTTTCAGTAAAGAATTGCCTAAATTGACGGGGGATGACCTATTAAAGGGACTGCAGGAGGGGTTAAACAGTTTGAATCCCTTGGGGCATGTAAATACGCTATTGTCTACTTCTTTGGGAAATCTGGTGCTAATATTGATTTTATGCTTGCTTTTCTATGTAGTCTTCCGGCGCTGGAGAAAACAACAACAACTAAAAAGGATCGTTAAGACCGTTGCGCATGCTGTCCGTCACAATGCTAACAAAAGAGGGGGAGATGAAGGAGACCTGGCATGAAATGTGGTTGTGCTTGCACGCGAGGCATCCACAAGACTGGCTGGACTTTTCTGCAAACAGAATGTTCTGCCTGGTGAACTCACAAGGCCCCAGGGAAAACATTGCTTGCAAACAAGGATGTTTTATCAGTTCCTCAAAAGGAACAAGCCTGGGGCCTTGGGAGTTTGAAACATTATGAAGGAACCTGTTATAAACAGATGTGTAAGGGAAAGGTCATTATTGTGGGATGCTTGCGCAGGCTTAGGTAGCTGACTCACTGCTTTGGCAAAAGGCGGGCTTTGTTTAGAGGCTATAAGAATAAAGAGCTCGAGGAACTCGAGGAGACTACACAGCAACCAGTGTTCGTGTTTTCATTTTGTTGGCGGCATCTGGCATCCAACGTGGGGCCCAACGAAACTGAAAGGGTAAGCACCCTGGAAAAGTGAAAGGGGGACTTTCGGGAATAGGTAAATCTCGATGCAGGGCTCGACAAGACCGAAAGGGTAAGCACCCCGAAAAGTGAAAGGGGGACTTTCGGGAATAAATAAATCATGGGGAATTCTAATTTTCTAAGGTCACAGTATTTAGACCTCATAAAGGGACTCCTTAAGTCCATCGGGGAAAAAGTGTCCTCTCGGCGCTCGAATGAATTATTTCTGCATATTGATTGCCATTGTTATTGGTTTCCTCATCAGACAAAGGCTCAGTTAAATTTGAGGGAGTGGAAGCAAGTTCAAAAGGAGTTGCGGAAGCAACACCAGTGGGGAAACGTTATGTCTCTTAAACTCTGGACTCTCTGTAGCGCCATTACTCAGGCGCTTGAAATTTTTGAAACAGATAGTGAGGTTAACTCCCGTCGTAGTGAGGCTCATTATGAGGACGTTCCGGTGGAAGAAAAAGATACAAAGGAGGGATCTTGCCCTCCCCCTCCACCGGAGCCTCCTGATGAGACTTCTGAGTCTAGCTCAGATTCTGAGGAGGATAGTGATGAGGAAGAAGAAAAAGATAAATTGATTTTCAAAATGGCTACTGCCTTGAAACCTCAGCGACAGGGCACTTGCTTTAATTGTGGGCAGTTTCTGGACATTTGACTGTATGAACTGATAATTTTACCTTAAATGTGTCTCAAAGTTCTGGACTTTTTCAGGTTCATCTGCATAAGAATAAAACCTACACTGCAACTGCTTGTGTCAAATTTCCCTATTCCTTACTATCAGGGAAAATTATGTTAAATGTTTACAGAGGGATATGTAAATTGTACTGCTGATTGTGTCTTTACTCAGTGTGTAAATAAGACTTGGTGGGAGACAATCGAAGATACCAACAAATCTGTAATGATTGTAAAGCTTGTTCCGAGCTTTGGATGCCTGTTAATCTGACATGTCCTTGGTCTGACTCTATTGCTGTTTACATCTGTATGATTCCCTTCAAGTTGTTCTACATCGCTCCCGTCGACTAGTGGGATTGATCGTCGCGACTATCCTTGCGGTTGCATCCGTTACTGTGATGGCCGCTGTGGCCAGCCTGGCACTGCAGCAGGAATACAAACTGTGGACTTTATCAGGGAATGGCATAAGGACTCTCATGCCTTATGGCAACAGCAAAAGGACTTAGATGCTCAATTAGCTACCGATGTAATTAACTTGCAACATACTGTATCTTGGTTAGGGGATCAACTGACAGTTCTTGCTACCCGCAATATATTGAAATGTGATTGGAATTCTACACAAATGTGTGTCACCCCACTGCATTTTAACATGTCAGAAGGATGGGAAAAGATTAAGCACTCTTTACGGGGTCATCAAAATTTAACTGCAGAGATAATGCAACCTGAACAGTCTATTGCAGACACTTTCAGTAAAGAATTGCCTAAATTGACGGGGGATGACCTATTAAAGGGACTGCAGGAGGGGTTAAACAGTTTGAATCCCTTGGGGCATGTAAATACGCTATTGTCTACTTCTTTGGGAAATCTGGTGCTAATATTGATTTTATGCTTGCTTTTCTATGTAGTCTTCCGGCGCTGGAGAAAACAACAACAACTAAAAAGGATCGTTAAGACCGTTGCGCATGCTGTCCGTCACAATGCTAACAAAAGAGGGGGAGATGAAGGAGACCTGGCATGAAATGTGGTTGTGCTTGCACGCGAGGCATCCACAAGACTGGCTGGACTTTTCTGCAAACAGAATGTTCTGCCTGGTGAACTCACAAGGCCCCAGGGAAAACATTGCTTGCAAACAAGGATGTTTTATCAGTTCCTCAAAAGGAACAAGCCTGGGGCCTTGGGAGTTTGAAACATTATGAAGGAACCTGTTATAAACAGATGTGTAAGGGAAAGGTCATTATTGTGGGATGCTTGCGCAGGCTTAGGTGGCTGACTCACTGCTTTGGCAAAAGGCGGGCTTTGTTTAGAGGCTATAAGAATAAAGAGCTCGAGGAACTCGAGGAGACTACACAGCAACCAGTGTTCGTGTTTTCATTTTGTTGGCGGCATCTGGCATCCAACGTGGGGCCCAACGAAACTGAAAGGGTAAGCACCCTGGAAAAGTGAAAGGGGGACTTTCGGGAATAGGTAAATCTCGATGCAGGGCTCGACAAGACCGAAAGGGTAAGCACCCCGGAAAAGTGAAAGGGGGACTTTCGGGAATAAATAAATCATGGGGAATTCTAATTTTCTAAGGTCACAGTATTTAGACCTCATAAAGGGACTCCTTAAGTCCATCGGGA